TTCTCTTACAATAGAAAGCCTGGTCTGTGGCGATTAGTGGGCATTTTCCTCATGTTGATGTCGCTAGTATGTACCTGTGCACACTATATCTTAGGTGACAATACAATTTACCCTACTCTACCCTGTGAGGGAATATTTATAGGTTGAAGGAGGTAGTGCTCAGCAGTACGTCTCAATTGGTAATGTGTGTCCTCTCGGGGCGCCTCGTGACAATTGAACACTCTGGAACGTTGTCTAGTTTTAACTGCATTTGTAAATAACAGCCGGACCATTCCCTGTCTTCCAGGACGCAATGTAGCCCTGAGACAGCCGGCTAATCAGTCCAGTGATGCCGGCCCAAACAATGTTGCATCAAAGGCTGTCGATGGAAACTCGAATTCAAGTTCATGTTCAATGACCCGGGCCAACTTAAATGTCAATTGGGAACTGCACTTCAACTTGCCACATAACCTGCAGATGGCCAGGGTTTACAATACAGATGGTAAGTGTACAACACAGGTGGTAAGTGTACAACGCAGATAGTAAGTGTACAACACAGGTGGTAAGTTAACAACACAGATAGTAAGTGTACAACACAGGTGGTAAGTCTACAATACATATAATACGTGAGTCTACAACAAAGATGATATGTAAATTTACAATATATATGGTAAGTCCACAATACAGATGATAAGTGTACAACACAAATGGTTAGTCTACAACACAGATGATAAGTAAGTCTACAAAACAGATGGTGAGTCTACAATAAGGATGGTAAGTGTACAACACAGGTGGTAAGTGTACAACACAGATAGTAAGTGTACAACACAGGTGGTAAGTCTACAACACAGATGGTAAGTGTACAACACAGATAGTAAGTGTACAACACAGGTGGTGAGTCTACAAAACAGATAATACGTAAGTCTACAACAAAGATGATAGGTAAGTCTACAATATATATGGGAGGTCCACTATACAGATGATAAGTGTACAACACAAATGGTTAGTCTACAACACAGATGATAAGCAGGTCTACAAAACAGATGGTGAGTCTACAACACAGATAGTAAGTGTACAACACAGGTGGTAAGTCTACAATACAGATAATACGTAAGTCTACAACAAAGATGATATGTAAGTCTACAACACAGATTATTAGTAAGTCAACAACACAGATGATAAGTCTTAAACACAGATTATAAATAAGTCTACCATATAGACGGTAAGTAAGTCTATAACACAAGTGGTAAGTCTTCAAGACAGCTGATTAGTCTACAAACAGATGGCCTTTTGATGGCGTCTATTGTGTAGATGTTGCTTAGGTGTTTCATAATGACGGGGTGCCGGATTGGATCACAGTTTCAGGCGATTAAGTAACAGTCTTGCGATGGTATCGAGCTCGACCGTTTAGAAGCAATGGCAAACTTCTCAACGTAAATTTGGACTAGAAAACCACAAGAGCAAAACAACCCCTTCTCCCCCCCCCCTCAAAAAAAGGTTGGTTCTGCATCTTCTTGTAAAGGAAATGCAATTAACCTAATATTAATAATATTATTATTATTCTTTTTGTGTGTGTGCAGATGAAAGAATCAATTCAAGACTTAAAGGGTTCAATTTAGTGACCCTGGATACAGCGAACAGAGTAACCAATCATTTCACAGACAATGCCACAAGTGCTCAGCTTGTGTACGAGCTGCCTCTGTCATCCCTCATACCCGTGGCTGCTGTTGTCATTACGCTCTCAGTGTCGCTACCGTTGTCTGACAGAGTGCTATCTTTATGTGAAGTTGAGTTGTTAGGTGGTAAGTTGACCTGTTTATGTGTGCTGTTGTGATCATATTTATGTGAATTTGAATCGATTAGTGAGACATCGATGTTTTCTTTTCACAATTAGGTTTGTGCGATTTTAAGAAGACAGGTTTCTAAGTTAATTTCTTGATTTTTTTCGGTTGCATATAAATTCTCTGTAAAGCTAAGTTGACGACATTGAGTTTAAAAAATTTGTGTTGATAGAATTGGTAAAGTTCCCAAAATGTAAACCACCACAAAATTAGGAAATGGGGGGGGGGGAGGCGTGCGGGGGGGGGGGGGGGAGGGGAGAGGGGAGAGTAGCTCAACCCCACTTCAGCGGCGCGCTACTCACCCACAAGGCAAAAACTTGAACGGGACTCAGACTTGTTCCACCCCACCTTCTCCCCCACCTCCTCAGCCTACCCATCCGGACGTAATATCCGAGGAAACATGAGGGGAACCCCCAGTCATGCCCTCCGCACCACCTTCAACATTCTCTTCTTCTGCCTTTCTATTCCCCAATGGAGCATAGGCCCTCAACCAACTCACGCCAAGTCGTTCTATCCTTCGCTATTGCATGGAGCTCTCCCCATGTCCTCCCCATCTTTCTAACTTCATTCTCCAGCTCTCTTTTCCATGTGTTTTTTGGCCTTCCTTTATTACTGTGCCATTGTAGGTACCAATGCAAAGACATTCTAGTTATGCTGTTTTCTCAGTGTGTATTCTATCCAACGCCAGCGTCTTTTCCTCACCTCTTGGTCCACTGGAGTCTGTTTAGTTCTCTCCCAAAGTTCTACATTAGGTATTCTATCACACCATTTAATTCCCTATATTCTGCGCAGGCACCAGTTAATGAATGTCTGTAATTTATTAGTGATTGCTTCATTTGTTCTCAATGTTTCCATCCCATACAAAAGTACTGACTTGACATTAGATAAAAACATTTTTAGTTTAGTATTTCTTTTAATTTCTTTTGACCTCCACAAATTCCATAGTGCTATGAAAGCTCCTCTTGCCTTTTGTATTCTTATTTTAATATCTCTATCAGTTCCTCCATCGTTATCTACATCACTGCCCTAATTGGTGTACGACTCCACGTCTTGAAGTGGGGTGCCAATAAGGGAAACCACATTTCTATTTGTCTGATTTATTCTCATTATCGTTGTCTTTCCTTTATGGATTTTCAGACCAATCTGCTGTGATCTCGCACCAGGTATATTTAATTTATCTTGCATCTGATCCGTGAATGGGACAGAAGAGCAATATCATCAACGAAGTCCAGATCAACAGGCTGTTTTGTAGGCGTCCACTGAATTCCATTCTTGGTGTTAGCAGTTACTGTTTTCATAATCCAGCCTATAGCCAGTAAAAATAAGAGAGGCGACAAAAGACATCCCTGTCACACACCTATTTTTATTTCAAATGTATCTGTTAGCTTTCCCTTATGAAGAACTCGACATTTCATGTCTTTATATGTTGCCTGTACTAAGTTAATAATTTTCTGTGGGATTCCATAGTGCCCCATCAATTTCCAGATAGATTCCCTACCAATGCTGTCAAAAGCTTTTTTTAAAGTCTATAAACCCAATGTAAAGTGGTGAGTTCAGTATAATGCTTTTCTCTATTATAAAACGTAAAGTGGCTATCTGGTCAGTACAGGATCTGTTTGACCGAAAACCTGCCCTGTTCATCTCTTAGCTTTTTATCAATAGCATCTTTCAATCTTTCCAAAAAATTTCTACTTAATATTTTTCCAGGAACTGACAGCAACATAATTCCTCTATAGTTTTCACACTCCTGTAGATCACCTTTTTTTTTTGGGCAGTTTCACAAGATATCCTTCTTTCCAGTCTGCTGGTATTTCTTCGGTCTCCCAGACTTTATTAATAATCTATGTAGCAATTCTGTTGATGTGCTTATGTTGGCCCTGATGGCTTCAGCTGGGATACCATCTGGACCTGCCGCCTTTCCTTCCTTGAGAAGATTGATAGGTTTTTTAATGTCCTCTTTAGATGGTATCTCATAGTGGAATGAGCTCACTCGTTGTCTAGTGGGTGTTTGTATTTGTGTCGTGAATGTTCTCATCACACACTCTACATTAACATAACTGGTTCAAGCCGACACCGACTTAGCCGTACGAAACATCAGTTTATTGACAACAGTGTCCAGTCGTTGTCCTGCGAAACAGCTTTTGCAAACCACATCACGCAGACTTCAACAAGCAGGTTCCTGACGCAGTCACTGACCAGAGTCTGCACTGATAGAGCTGGTTGATCTTCTGGACATTACACAGACTCCTGGCTTCACACGTCGTCGTCTGGTTCTCCTTTCACTACAAGCAATCTCACGTTGAGGGGGGGGGGGCGGGGTGGGGGTGATAGCGCCTGAACGCACGCCAGAGAATCACAAGGTTGGTAGCCCTGGTATAGCGCCTAGACGCACGCCAGAGAATCACAAGGTTGGTGGTGCCCTGGTATAGCGCCTAGACGCACGCCAGAGAATCACAAGGTTGGTGGTGCCCTGGTATAGCGCCTAGACGCACGCCAGAGAATCACAAGGTTGGTGGTGCCCTGGTATAGCGCCTAGACGCACGCCAGAGAATCAGAAGGTTGGTGGTGCGGTCCTGAGGAACCCAAACCTTTTAAAATTGACTTTGACTGGTGGGTAGACCCAACTTTAAATGGGTACCTGTGAAGTAACGACGGTCAGTGGGATGCGTATCACACCACCCACCACACGCGGACTGGTCTAGGAAACATAGGTGTAGCCTTATATGCTTAATATGCACAAAGGCGGGGGGGGGGGGGAAGTCCTGTATGGACAATATTACATATAAAAATAGAGCAAACCAGAGGTTTTGAAAGAGGCAAGGGTTTGAAGACAACTTATCATAAACATCAGAAAAGGACATTTTTTTTTGGGGGGGGGGGGGAGGGGGGGGGGGGGGGGTCATGATACGAGAAGAGGGAAACTACAAAAAATGTAACCACTGGAACTACCTGGTGAAAGAGAATCAGAGGAGGACAGCGGGAGAAGTTTCTTGTCAGCCTTATGTCATGGCATGGAGGGGTGTCAACCCACGAACTGATACACGCAGTTGCGAATTGCAGCTTGTGGAGAGACATGATCGCCCACGCCAGTGATCAAGATTATGCATGGCGATGTCCAATACCCCTGAAGGTGTGGAAGCGAGTCCTTTACTTACCTACTTACCTTTATGTTCCTCGCAGAAACCCAGTGTCCAGAAGGCTCCTTCGGGCTGGAATGTGACCAGAGCTGTGGCTGTGCGGAGGACGAGATCTGTAATATAGTCTCGGGAGTGTGTGCTGCAGGCTGTGCAAACCGCAAGAGGTATGGCTTTAACTGTATACGCACGTGCAGTACCAACTGTTTCCTGGAGGCCTGCTTCTACAGAACCGGCATGTGTCTGCAGTGTCAGGATGGCTACGGTGGGCCTTTTTGTGATACAGGTAATTGTTTAGAGAAATGGTCTCCAACCTTTTTGTGATACAGGTAATTGTTTAGAGAAATAGTCTTCAATCTTTTGTATTACATGTTATTGTTTAGAGAAATGGTCTTCAACCTTTTGTATTTCATGTAATTGTTTAGAGAAATGGTCTTTAACCTTTTGTATTACATGTAATTGTTTAGAGAAATGGTCTTCAATCTTTTGTATTACATGTAATTGTTTAGAGAAATGGTCTTCAACCTTTTGTATTACATGTAATTGTTTAGAGAAATGGTCTTCAACCTTTTGTATTACATGTAATTGTTTAGAGTAATGGTCTCCAACCTTTTGTGATACAGGTAATTGTTTAGAGAAATGGTCTCCAACCTTTTGTGATACAGGTAATTGTTTAGAGAAATGGTCTCCAACCTTTTGTGATACAGGTAATTGTTTAGAGAAATGGTCTCCAACCTTTTGTATTAAATGTAATTGTTTAGAGAAATGGTCTTCAACTTTTTGTATTACATGTAATTGTTTAGAGAAATGGTCTTCAACCTTTTGTGATACATGTAATTGTTTAGAGAAATAGTCTTCAATCTTTTGTATTACATGTAATTGTTTAGAGAAATGGTCTCCAACCTTTTGTGATACAGGTAATTGTTTAGAGAAATAGTCTTCAATCTTTTGTATTACATGTAATTGTTTAGAGAAATGGTCTTCAACCTTTTGTATTACATGTAATTGTTTAGAGAAATGGTCTTCAACCTTTTGTATTACATGTAATTGTTTAGAGAAATGGTCTTCAACCTTTTGTATTACATGTAATTGTTTAGAGAAATGGTCTCCAACCTTTTGTGATACAGGTAATTGTTTAGAGAAATGGTCTCCAACCTTTTGTGATACAGGTAATTGTTTAGAGAAATGGTCTCCAACCTTTTGTATTAAACGTAATTGTTTAGAGAAATGGTCTTCAACTTTTTGTATTACATGTAATTGTTTAGAGAAATGGTCTCCAACATTTTGTGTTACATGGAATTGTTTAGAGAAATGGTTTCCAACCTTTTGTATTACATGTAATTGTTTAGAGAAATGGTCTCCAACTTTTTGTATTACATGTAATTGTTTAGAGAAATGGTCTTTAACCTTTTGTATTACATGTAATTATTTAGAGAAATAGTCTCCAACCTTTTGTATTACATGTAATTGTTTAGAGAAATGGTCTCCAACCTTTTGTATTACATGTAATTGTTTAGAGAAATGGTCTTTAACCTTTTGTATTACATGTAATTATTTAGAGAAATGGTCTGCAAGCTTTTGTATTACATGTAAATGTATGGAGAAATAGTCTCCAACCTTTTGTATTGCATGTAATTGTTTAGAGAAATGGTCTCCAACCTTTTGTATTGCATGTAATTGTTTAGAGAAATGGTCTCCAACCTTTTGTATTACATGTAATTGTTTAGAGAAATGGTCTCCAACCTTTTGTATTACATGTAGTCTAACACAGGAACTTGCTATGTTGTCAAATAAGGCAGAAATTCACTTGCAGTGGATTCCGTCTCACTGTGGCATCAAAGGCAATGAAAGCGCAGATGCTTTAGCAAAGGAAGGCAGTAACAAACCACAGACCTACCAGCCACTATCTTTTCTAGAAGTCAAAACTCTCATTAAGAGAAAATCAGATACAGATTGGAAAACAAACACTGGTTATAACTACGGAAAAGATTTTCTGAAACACTTGAACAGAACAGACCAAGTCACAGTTTTTCGCTTACGCACTGGACACTGCAGACTCAATAAACACTCACATAAATTAGGTATGAGCCAAACAGCTCTCTGCCAGTGCCTTCGTGCTGAACAGACTCCAGAACATGTCCTGCAAGACTGTCCTCTCCTGGCGGAGCTGCGGAGCAACACATGGCAACACCCAGTAGAACTGACAACTAAGCTTTAGGGAAACCTTATAGACCTTGAAAATACATCCCAGTTTATGACCCACAGTGGATTATGCGCATGACCAGAGATCGCTGAAGAAGAAGAAGAAGTATTACATGTAATAGTTTAGAGAAATTGTCTCCTACATTTTGTATTACATGTAACTGTTTAGAGAAATGGTCTCCAACCTTTTGCATTACATGCAATTGTTTAGAGAAATGGTCTCCAACCTTTTGTATTACATGCAATTGTTTAGAGAAATGGTCTCCAACCTTTTGCATTACATGTAATTGTTTAGAGAAATGGTCTCCAACCTTTTGCATTACATGCAATTGTTTAGAGAAATGGTCTCCAACCTTTTGTATTACATGCAATTGTTTAGAGAAATGGTCTCCAACCTTTTGTATTACATGTAATTGTTTAGAGAAATGGTCTCCAACTTTTGTAATACAAGTAATTGTTTAGAGAAATGGTCTCCAACTTTTGTAATACAAGTAATTGTTTAGAGAAATGGTCTCTAACTTTTGTAATACAAGTAATTGTTTAGAGAAATGGTCTCCAACTTTTGTAATACAAGTAATTGTTTAGAGAAATGGTCTCCAACCTTTGGGGAGAGAGGGGGGGGGGAGGATGGGGGGGGGGTTGCGTCCTCTTTTCAGTATATGACAAAAACGATTTAACATACATACATATACACACACACATACATACGGACGGACATACATACATACATACATACATACATACATACATACATACATACATACATACACACACACATACACACATACACACATACACACATACACACACACGCACGCGCGCACACACACACACAGACAGACAGACAGACAGGCAGGCAGACAGGCAGACAGGCACCCAGGCAGGCAGGCCGGCAGGCAGGCAGACAGACAGACAGACAGACAGACAGACATGCACGGAGACACACACATGCACACACGGACACTCCCACTTAGACAAAAATACAGACACAAACACAGACACTTACATATAAACACACACAGGGAAACACATGGCACACATATATACATTCGTGCTCACACACTGACACACATACACACACACACATACGCAAAACAACATGCAGACACATACATACAGCCACATAGACACACACGCAGTCAAACACACTCATACAAATACAGACAAACAGGCAGACAAACACATACTGACACTTACACAGGCAAACACATAGAAATACACACGCAAACACATATATTCAGCACGCACAGACATATACTCTGACATGCAGACACATACACACAACAAAGGGGCACACACAATACACACAGAGAAACACACATAGACATGCACATACAGACAGACACATGCTGACACATACACTCACACATACAGACACACACACAGAGATACATACATACAGCCTCATAGACACACCCGCAAACACACATAAACATACACAGGCAAACATACAGACAAACACATACGGTGACACACACAGACACACACGAAGATATACCCACAGTAACCTGAAATGATGGGGAAATCATCAGACTGTTATGCATTGACCCAGTCCCTACCTCTGTCTGTCTCATCTGCACCAATGATTTTATTGAAACATTTCACGGTTGTTGTCATTGATCTCAGATTGCCAACCAGGAACGTTTGGGCAGAGATGTGCCTCCAATTGCTCCAAACACTGTCGTGAAACCTGCAATATTCACAACGGGGAGTGTTCCTGCCACGCACCCTACCGCGGACCACAGTGTACAGGTAGTTGAGCCATTTCATTGTGCTAGGTTTGAACTCTCTATTTACTGCGAGCCACACGACACAGAAGCCATGTGTCACAACATTAGTACACGCAACTGACATCAGTTCCAGACTTTGTGCCTCTGTATTTTTGTTCATGAACGACTTTCGATATCCTTTGGCCCCTACATCCTTGTGTTTTATTGATGTCTATCTTTGTGGTGGTATGGGACGTCGCAGGTCGACCCAGCCTAAAATGGGTACCAGGATGGGCTGTCCTGGGAAGGTAAAGACAGCCGGCGTAATGCTGACCACATTACCCACAGAGTGCTGATGGTCTGTAAAAATATGGGACGCTCTGCCCATATGCCCGATGCGCCGAAAAGCGTGAATAGGGAACTTTACTTTTTTACTTACTGAGGATACAGTTCAATGGTTGAACCCATTGGCTTCCTTGTGTTTTAATGAAATCTATTTCGTAGAATGCGAAAATTACTCTTATTTGGAGAGATAAAAACCGCGTTAAAAATGCGAATTGTAAAATCTTTTCTTTAGGTTAGCTGCGTATCCTTTACAGAACTGCAAAACCAATTCCAGCTTTTTCTTGTTGGCCTTTTGGGATTTGCTAGGCAATGTTTACGTCCAAGAGATTTCATTGCTTAGTGAATGTCAACATCTCGATACAACTGTTGAAACTAATGAATAGTTGTCTGCTGCCAAATCGCTCGCAGTTGAGATTGAACCTGGTATCCCAGAATTATAACGCCCGTTCGCAACACCTTAACCAGTACGCCGATAAATGTTTAGTATATGACTGTGGGATCTGTAACATGAATTAGCAATCAGAGAACCGTACTGAGTCTCCAAGTGCAGATATACAGAATAAAAGGACCTACATGATGGAAAATCCAACACAGGTTTGGAAAAGACTGTCAGGAAAAAACGTTGCAGGAAGAAATGAAATAAAGAGACGTGACACATTTATACCATTTAAAAAAAAATAACACTTGTATATATAAAAAAAAAACATAATGGAACAACAGTTGAAGGCAGGCCAACAGGAGGCAGACCGCGATACATGTGGAATAATAACATCAACAGACAGGCCAACTACAGTCTGCGAAACTATACATTCAGGGTCAAGGACATAGAAGGTTTGAGATCTGATGCCAGCAAATTTCATTGTGGAGACGGCAGCAGATTGATAGAATGAATTATAGAGATGTCACAGAATCTAGCTTGGTTTGAGTATTCGTTACTTAGCTTTGCATAAAGTACTTGTCTCTCTGTTGTAGAATGTACTGGACCATCTGTGGTAGACTATACGTGTCATTCTGTTGTCGAACGTACTTTATCGTCTGATGTAGACTATACTTGTCTCTCTGTTGTAGAATGTACTGTTCCCTTGTTGTAGACTGTACTTGTCTGTCTGTTGAAGAACGTTCTGTATCGTCTGTTGTAGACTTTAGTTGTCTTTCTGTTATTAAATTACTGTTCCGTTGTTGTAGACTATACTTGTCTCTCTGTTGTAGAATGTACTGTTCCCTTGTTGTAGACTGTACTTGTCTGTCTGTTGAAGAACGTTCTGTATCGTCTGTTGTAGACTTTAGTTGTCTTTCTGTTATTGAATTACTGTTCCGTTGTTGTAGACTATACTTGCCTCTCTGTTGTAGAATTATTGTTCCCTTGTTGTAGACTATACTTGCCTCTCTGTTGTAGAATTATTGTTCCCTTGTTGTAGACTATACTTGTCTCTCTGTTGTAAAATGTACTTGTCAGAACCCTGTGGGTACAGTCACGTGGCGGGGTAGACCTAAAGGCCGTAGACCGTATTCAGCGTACATCCCAGAGTTGACACAAAGGTCAACATAGTAAACGGCGTGACTGTCAATGTATGTGCTTGGAGTGCCGATCAATAGACTTTCTGTTACTTGATTAATTCTGTTACTTGGTGACACCAAGGGGAAAGTAGCGTTCAGAAGAGACCACTTGAAGACGGCAAGTAAGAGTGAACTCTTTTCCAGGCAGCTTCCTGTCATGCTTGTTCCATGACCTTACTGAGCGGGTTGACAGATCATAAGTCACGGGGTGGGAGGCCACCAGGGATTCGACGTGTAGACTTTGATCAGATACGGTTTGTTAGCGAGACAGAGATAGAACATTAGAGTTAGGATAATACTTTAGTGACTGCATCGATTATTTACAGTGTTATGTTATAGTAGGATAGTCTGTTTGTGCAGTGTAGTTTGATGGTAAAAGGTGTTGTGTTGTTTCACAATAAGTAAGTAGTGTCCCCCTCTTTTTGATCAATTGAATCGGTTAGATGCATGTTTTGTGAGCTAATGTCTAGCCTTGTCACGCTGACCCTGCGCTCGACAGAAGCTCTGACATCTTGGTGAGTTCCGGTGACAAGGTACAAGAGCGTGCCCCGCAGAGGTGTGGTTTGCGCACCTGGGATTGCCTGTGGTAACGGATTGGAGAGCGTAGTGATTGTAAAGCTGGCTCGGCCAGGGTTGCAGGTAACAGGTGGCCATAAAGTCAACTGTCCGTTGTAATATCTGTACTTACATTAAAGATTGTCATGTGTGCTCTGTGTGCGTTCGGGTTCAGTGTGTGTCAGGTTTACTTTGCCTTTCAGAGGCCCACTCACGAGCCATGGACAATCAAGGTCACCCACAGGTCTGTGACAGTATTGTTTCACTGTGGTAGACTATACTTGTCCCTCTGTTGTAGAACATACTGGTCCCTGTGTGGTAGACTATGCTTGCCTCTCTGTTGTAGAACATACTGGTCCCTGTGTGGTAGACTATGCTTGCCTCTCTGTTGTAGAACATACTGGTCCCTGTGTGGTAGACTATGCTTGCCTCTCTGTTGTAGAACATACTGGTCCCTGTGTGGTAGACTATGCTTGCCTCTCTGTTGTAGAACATACTGGTCCCTGTGTGGTAGACTATACTTGCCTCTCTGTTGTAGAATGCCCGCCAGGAACGTTCGGACCCAACTGTACAGACGTGTGCCCAACATCGTGCAAAAATCACAAGTGTCACCAGGTCTCTGGCATGTGTCTTTCCTGTACTGGTGGTCGTTTCGGGCCCTTCTGTCAAGGTTGAGTATATTTCTGGTTTTGTTCCCTTATTTTATGTACTTATTTTTGAAAATGTTTTCCTTTCCCTCCTGATTACTTTGTTTGTAAGATTGTTTCTTTCTTTTTTTCCTCTCTTTATTACTTGCATTCTGTCTTTCTTTCGTTCTTTCTTTCTTTTTCTTTCTTTCTTTCGTTCTTTCTTTCTTTTTCTTTCTTTCTTTCTTTCGTTCTTTCTTTCTTTCTTTCTTTCTTTCTTTCTTTCTTTCTTTCTTTCTTTCTTTCTTTCTTTCTTTCTTTCTTTCTTTCTTTCTTTCTTTCGTTCTTTCTTTCTTTCTTTCTTTCTTTCTTTCTTTCTTTCTTTCTTTCTTTCTTTCTTTCTTTCTTTCTTTCTTTCTTTCTTTCTTTCTTTCTTTCTTTCTTTCTTTCTTTCGTTCGTTCGTTCGTTCGTTCGTTCGTTCGTTCGTTCGTTCTTTCTTTCTTTCTTTCTTTCTTTCTTTCTTTCTTTCTTTCTTTCTTTCTTTCTTTCTTTCTTTCTTTCTTTCTTTCTTTCTTTCTTTTTTTTCTTTTTCTTTTTTTCTCTTCTTCATCTTCTTCCTTTTCTTCTTCTTTTTTTTCTTTTTCTTCCTCGTCCTCTCCTTCTTTTTCCCCTTACATTCCTTAGATTATGTGTCCATCTTGAATTGTGTTCACCGTTGAGACTCAGAAGAACGTCTGTCCACGCCTGGAAGCTTTATTCCCTTCAGATTGAGGTAATCCATTTAAGCTCAGCATCGTTGCACCACTCCCAAAGAACTTTGACCCAAAGAACCTTGACCCAAAGAACCTTGACCACCTGTCATGAATCACTTTACTGCCAGATGGCGTAGCACCAGTCAGTATGTGCGTCTATTTCTTTTCCAACACACTAGCATGCCCTTGTGAAAATATCCAAATGATGCTAACTACGCGGGATTTCTAAAGTTATGCTTGCCACTCTGCATGAAGCAAACCTGCTTCCAGCATGCTTGGTGAGTCAGCTACAATAAAAACATGAATGTACGGCTGTTTTTTTTTTTCCAACCCTGGGAATATTTGGTTCGTCGCCTCTTAATTGCATAATTGTTCGTTCATTAGTATAATTTCAATTAGACACGTTCAACATCTGACCATAAGATTATTGAAAGATTATTTTCTATGGATGTTGTATTTAATAATAAAAAGAATTATTGCTGGAGCTACGGAGTGAGTACTCTCTGCTCGATACCATCTTTAGATGACAACGGAGAGAGCTGAACGAGGAGAAAACAAGGAAATGGAGAGAGCAAAAGATATATCAATAGGAAAGCCGGAGCCCAGAGAGTCGGGCAAAAAACGGAGCGCTTGGATTAAAGCATATTAGAGTGGGTTCCTGGAACTGTCATAGTGCCTGGCAGAGAGGACCTGTACTAGAGAGACTGATTGATGACTTTGATATCATCATGCTGCAGCAATTAAACATAGATAGATATGAATGTCCTCGATACAGTAGTTATATAAATTCCACCAGACATGAAAGACATGGACAATGTCTGCTGGTGAAAAATAGGTTGAAGCAAGTAGTTCTTGACCTGGACCAGTAGAATCGTAGTACACTAAAGGTTCAGGGTATACAGATAGATAATGGGAGAACAACATAGAATATAGTAAATGTTTACGCTGCTGTTGAATCTCCTGTCACAAAGCAACATTGGGATTGGATTAAAGAGTTGGAGGGAATCCCTGGTAATAGGCTTCTCATCTGTGGGAAACAGAGCATGGGTCAGTAGTGGGGAAAATGGCAAGGAAATGCTTTAGAAGAGGCTGCTATAGTGAATACAGACGTAGTTGTGTTTAAACAACGGTAGGCCAACTAGAATGGCAATGAGACCTGGTGACGCAGACCAGTGTTGTCACCTTGGATTTTTTAAATCCAGATTTAGATGTTTTCCCTTGCATTTAAATGGTGTTTTTGACGTTTAGATGGTAGACGTTTTTCTATATGTTCTTCATTTAGAGTTAGATATTTTATAGATTTTTTTCTTTCAGTGTCAGTGTCAATTACTGTGTAAAATATTTACTACAATATTTTTGTTTTTGTCTCGCACGTATATTGTGAAAATTGTGATTACTCAAACTTTGAACTCTCACTGGGGTCAACGCTCAAATATCTGGCAGCCCCGCTACTGATTAAAAGCGCGCCTAAATCATACTAACTTTGTTTCAACCGTATCCTCACTGTGCTGCCTTTGTGTTTCTTTTTCATGTGATTTAAAAAAAAATTGCTCACCTTCATATGTGGTTTTCACTTTAAAAAAAAACTTGTAACGTGCCACAAGTAAAGTATGAGTTAAAAAATTGGAAAGAGTGGCTGCATGATGACACAATTAAAGGCTGGGTGGCGGCAGTTCTTGGGGATGTGACCGAGGCTCATTGTAAGAACTGCAAGTGTGATATTAAAGCAAAAATACCAGACTTCAAGAGTCAAGCAGATACTAAAAAGCATAAAACTGCAGTTCCATTCAAAGATATTACACCGCTGACATGTTTTCAGAACTACACTGATATATGAATCATCAAAAGTTCAAGGATCTGTCGCAATGTTTTTAAGTTGTCATTGTGCAATTTCGAACTGTGACCATTTGTTTTATTTGTTTAAAACACTATTTTTGACAGTAAAGTTATGGATGATGTGAAAATGCATCGCAGCAAGTGTACACATATTATAAGAAATACTACCTGTACCTGGTACCCACTCAAGGCTGGGTCGACGTTGGAGCTGAGGTTATTTTTGAAAACAGTCTGGCTCAAAAATAACCTTGGCTCCCAGGTCGACTCAGCCTTGAGTGGGTACTGGGTGCAGTCCCGGTAAAGTAAAGGTGGCCGGCGTGATGCTGACCACATCACCCATCTTGTGCCGACTGGTCTATAAAAATATAGGTCTAGCCCTATATGCCATATACGCCTAAAGACGTGGAAAAAGGTCCTTTACTTTACTTTACTAATTCTCTTGTCTGGCCGGTTCGCATTCGGGATGAAAGCAAGTTATGAGCCTCAGCGGAGCACCGCGTCGCACTACGGCCTTAGTTGAGGCTTGTGGCCTTCTGAAAACCACTGACTGGCAGGGAAAAGGGAAAACAAAAAAACTACATTGTGACTGAGCGACACATTCGCTTGTGTATCATCTGCAGATTGTCCAAATGGCTTGTACGGACGAGGATGTTACCGGACCTGCTCGGTGTATTGCTTGAAAAGGACTTGTGAATCAACAAGCGGAAATTGTCCCGTGTGTACAGATGGGTATACTGGCCCACAGTGTATTGGTACTTGTCTGTTTGTGTGAACGTGGTCCACATTGTATTGGTACTTGTCAGTCTGTATGTGTGAATGCGGTCCACATTGTATTGGTACTTGTCAGTCTGTTTGTGTGAACGTGGTCCACAGTGTATTGGTACTTGTCAGTCTGTTTGTGTGAATGCGGTCCACAGTGTATTGGTACTTGTCAGTCTGTATGTGTGAATGCGGTCCACATTGTATTGGTACTTGTCAGTCTGTTTGTGTGAACGTGGTCCACAGTGTATTGGTACTTGTCAGTCTGTATGTGTGAATGCGGTCCACATTGTATTGGTACTTGTCAGTCTGTTTGTGTGAACGCAGTCCACAGTGTATTGGTACTTGTCTGTCTGTTTGTGTGAACGCGGTCCACAGTGTATTGGTACTTGTCTCTGTGTCCGGTTTACTTGTGTGTGTGGGCCATACAGCGGCTTGTAATATCTTCTTTTTCTATTTGTTGTTCCTCTTTTGCCACTTGGGCTGTCGAGTGAGATATAAGGTTCTGCTTCCTGTTAGTCAGGCCACCTTGCCCGTAGACACACTATTCTGTTGAAGAGTTTCGCCTGAGAATAATTCCAACAGACCCGCAAAGTGGACTTTGAAGATAGAACATAGATTCTTGCACCCCGAGGGGTTCACGTCACAGGATAAGATTCAGATGAGAAGCTTGTCCTGGATGATTTTGTCCGGGATAGTCGAGTGTACGGGGACATGAGCATGTTGATAGATTAGCTGCTGCCGTTTATCACGCCGGGAGAAACTTTATGAAGAAGCAAATGTGATGAAGGCTCTCTGGGAACAAGTGAACGTGCAGTAGGCAAGACAGAGCATGTAGATCTGGAGATACTGGTTCAACTCAGAGTGGCAAAGGATCTGGACTATTTCCTAGCTACACACACACACACACACACACACACACACACACACACACACACACACACACACACACACACACACACACACACACACACACACACACACACACACACACACACACACACACACACACACACACACACACACACACACACACACACACACACACACACACACACACACACACACACACACACACACACACACACACACACACACACACACACACACACACACACACACACACACACACACACACACACACACACACACACACACACACACACACACACACACACACACACACACACACACACACACACACACACACACACACACACACACACACACACACACACACACACACACACACACACACACACACACACACACACACACACACACACACACACACACACACACACACACACACACACACACACACACACACACACACACACACACACACACACACACACACACACACACACACACACACAATATCACTTTTTTTCCTTTCTCAAAGCAGCCGATTTGATGCCTAGCCAAAAGATTAGCGGGACACGTGGGAACAGAAAAATAAATATCCCGGGAAAAGCCAGGGGCCGTCACTCGAAAATCAAACAGTGTAGGCAGTAAAGCTCCCAAGGATTTAGATGAAGCTGTAATGGCAGTTTAGTCCACTAGGTTCAAGAGCTTCCAAAATGTATAAAAAGAGATTTTAAAGAAGCTTCCGAACTCTTGTCACTGGAGTGGGTAGATTTAATGGCTGTCACCTCTATGTCCTGAACACACTGGTGGTCCTGGGGATTGAAATGCAATGGTACTGGTTTCAGAGCGCCCTTCTGCACGTCCAAAAGATGTTGTCTGAACCTGTTCGCCAGTCGTAACATCATCCAAGGGCGAGCATGAATCGGTGGCAACAACATCCTAGGACGAGCACTAATCAGTGGCAACAACATCCTAGGACGAGTATGAATCGATGGCAACAACATCAGAGGACGAGCATGAATCGATGGCAACAACATCCTAGGCTAAGATCTCGATAAAATCAACAAGTAAAAATGTGAAACATGGGAACTGCCATTTTTTTTTTTAAATGCAAAAGCTATGCAGGTTATGATTTTATATTTGCCCCACCTTACTCGAGATTCGAACCTTCGTCTCCCCTATAAGAGCCAAGCGTTCCTAATGGTTTAGCAAGCTAACCCCGCCTTACTCGAGATTCGAACCTTCGTCTCCCCTATAAGAGCCAAGCGTTCCTAATGGTTCGGCAAGCCAGCCAACCCTCCATTAAAAGAAAAAAATGGGTAATGGTGCCGATTAGCCACATTACACATTTTCTGGGGTAGAAAAGATCACCCGCCTAGCGAACGATTGTCTGAGGGAGGGCAATCTCACGGGGCCTGAGAATCCGTGATCTAGGGCTCATGTGTAAGAGAGGTCATTGAAAACAGATGTGGTTTGTGTTCACAGATGCCCCAGAGATGAGCTGGTGGTGGATAGTCCTGCCTGTCGTGGCAGTGATCATCCTGGTGTGCTGCTGCTGCCTCTTCTGTGGGTTCTGGGTGAGGCGTAGGTTAGCTCAGCGCAGGCCAGGTAGCAAGTCGGCCGGGCTTTCGTCTTTGACATCCGCTTCTCTTGGTGCCAGCGATATCATCAACAGAGAAGATCAATTAAAGTAGGTATTCTCGCTACTTTATAACTTCAATAAATGTGTTTTGAGGTCTTTGTGAAATGGTCGTTTGACCTAAAAATAAAAATTTATAAAAAAAAGTCGTGACCCACAGTTTGGGAACCGCTGCTGTAACTGGTTTTCGGCCGATGCCAGGTCTCGAAGGCTACCCAAGCATCTATTATACCCTCTTCTATTCTCTTTGTTTGGCCTCTCCTCTCCGTGGTCCACTGGTGCTGCGTTGACTAAGAAACTACAAGAAAAAAACGTCTGCATGATGTTTGGCGTCTTCTCTCCGTGGTCCACTGGTGCTGCGTTGACTTAGAAACTACAAGAAAAAAGCGTCTGCATGATGTTTGGCCTCTCCTCTCCGTGGTCCACTGGTGCTGCGTTGACCTAGAAACTACAAGAAAAAAGCGTCTGCATGATGTTTGGCCTCTCCTCTCCGTGGTCCACTGGTGCTGCGTTGACCTGGAAACTACAAGAAAAAAGCGTCTGCATGATGTTTGGCCTCTCCTCTCCGTGGTCCACTGGTGCTGCGTTGACCTAGAAACTACAAGAAAAAAGCGTCTGCATGATGCTTGGCCTCTCCTCTCCGTGGTCCACTGGTGCTGCGTTGACCTAGAAACTACCAGAAAAAAAGCGTCTGCATGATGTTTGGCCTCTCCTCTCCGTGGTCCACTGGTTCTGCGTTGACCTAGAAACTACCAGAAAAAAGCGTCTGCATGATGTTTGGCCTCTCCTCTCCGTGGTCCACTGGTGCTGCGTTGACCTAGAAACTACCAGAAAAAAGCGTCTGCATGATGTTTGGCCTCTCCTCTCCGTGGTCCACTGGTGCTGCGTTGACTTAGAAACTACCAGAAAAAAAGCGTCTGCATGATGTTTGGCCTCTCCTCTCCGTGGTCCACTGGTGCTGCGTTGACTTAGAAACTACCAGAAAAAAGCGTCTGCATGATGTTTGGCCTCTCCTCTCCGTGGTCCACTGGTGCTGCGTTGACTTAGAAACTACCAGAAAAAAGCGTCTGCATGATGTTTGGCCTCTCCTCTCCGTGGTCCACTGGTGCTGCGTTGACCTAGAAACTACTAGAAAAAAGCGTCTGCATGATGTTTGGCCTCTCCTCTCCGTGGTCCACTGGTGCTGCGTTGACCTAGAAACTACTAGAAAAAAGCGTCTGCATGATGTTTGGCCTCTCCTCTCCGTGGTCCACTGGTGCTGCGTTGACCTAGAAACTACTAGAAAAAAGCGTCTGCATGATGTTTGGCCTCTCCTCTCCGTGGTCCACTGGTGCTGCGTTGACCTAGAAACTACTAGAAAAAAAAGCGTCTGCATGATGTTTGGCCTCTCCTCTCCGTGGTCCACTGGTGCTGCGTTGACTTAGAAATACCAGAAAAAAAAATGAAAATGATAGACATTGTGGTGTTAGAAAGTGGAAGAATGGGCCTCAGTTTGAATAATGGGAAGACAGAAGTAATGGTGGTATCAAAGAAACAAATTATTCCTAAATGTGTAATAAAAGTCAATGGTGTTATTTTAAGACAAGTACAGAAATTTAAGTATCTGGGCACATGGATAACATCAGATGGAAGATGCATAACTGAAATAAGAAACAGAATTGGACAGGCAAAAACTGCATTTTATAAAATGAAAAACATCTTGTGCAATATATCCTTGTCATTGAGAGTTAGAAAAAGAATTCTTGCTTGCTACATACATCCAGTTTTAACACATGGATGTGAATCCTGCACAATCGGTAGGCAGGCCAAACAATTTTTGGAGGCCTCAGAGATGTGGTTTTACAGAAAAATGCTTATAATCCCTTGGACAGCCAAAAAACAGCAACCAAGAGGTTTTAAAAGAGACGGGAGCCCGAAGACAACTTATCACTGACATCAGAAGGAGACACTCATCATTTTTCGGCCATGTTATGAGAAGAGGGAAAATAGAACATGTTGTGACCACTGGAAAGATCTGTGGAAGGAGGGATAGAGGAAGACAACGAGAGAAGATGCTTGACGGTCTTGTTGCATGGCATGGAGGTGTGTCGGCACACGAACTGATACATGCTGCAGGAGATCGCGGATTATGGAGAGGCATGATCGCCCACGCCAGTCGGCAAGGCACCTGATGATGATGATGTCCTGGTGGGGTAGAAAGTCAGTCAGACAGTCATAAATTTCACATGGTTTTACAAATGTTGATAAATACACTTAATCCTAGCTTTTAACGGACGTTGGCGTACGGTGAGCGAGATCCCCTGCTTGAGTGTGTGGCTTAGGATAAGTTTTCTGATTTGTTCATAAAGACTTTGGTCTAATGAATCAATCATTGCATAACGTGCGGTCTGCACAGTGAAGGTTAAAACAGAGACCGTCTCTTGTCTTGGTAGTACACTCTCTCAGACTGCTATTTATTCATCTCTTGATTTCCTCTCTTTGGCATTATTGTCTTCATCTGTTTT